TAAGCAAAAACATTTCTGGATACCGGTTATGCTCTATTGTGGCTAGAGTCGCTTGAATTTGCATAAGTGAATTGGGCAGAACCCTGGTCTTGAAGAAATGGACCTGGCAGTATTACATGAATGTGGCAAAGAATAGTCTACCAAGAGTTCTAGGGAAATACTTCCCATGTATAACTTAGCTCTATTTACCTAAAGCTAGTTTATTCCCACAGACACAAAGAGAGAGAGAGCGTTGTTTTTCTTAGCCAAGCTTCTACAAAAAACGGCAAGCTTGGGGGAGGGGAGCAAAACAAATGTTTATGCCTTTTGTTTAGGAGTCTCAGGTATTTGAAATACATACTTAATATAGCCAACTCCTTTGCTCCCCCTCCCCTAGGTTTATTGACTTTCCTAACAAGCTTATTAACGAAATTATCAATCTCTATCAAACTGGTTTGAATGCTGGCCCTGCATCAGAATGTTCCTACTCTCTTGTGGAAGCACTAACAAGTAGATAGAAGAAGGGGCCTAGACAATTCACACGTTGGATTTGCAGCCACTGGCTATTTCAGATTCAGCTGCTAAAGCGTCTTTGGTATAGACAATGAGGGGCGACCGAAGTGACTTTTCTTAGTCCATTTCCTCTCTTTCTCTCGGTCTCCGAAAGGTATTCCTTGGGTCTCTTGCCTTTCCCTCTTCACAGTCCCTCCGGCGCAGTCCCAAAGCTTCACACCGGGTACTCTAACCCCCTTTCCCTAACGTCTCCCAACTACCACCCCCTTCCCCAATCAAAGTCCTCTCCCGGTCAGCACCAAAGCCCGGAGAAGTGGAACGCACACAATGCCTCCCTTATAGGGCTTGAGTTCGGAACTGGGCATGCTCAGTAGCCAAAGCAGATTTTTTTTTTTTTTTTTTTTTTTTTTTTTTTTTCTTTCTGTCTCTCTTTTGGTTGCAAGTGCGGCATCTCTCCCAGTCCCACGCCTCTCTTTCCTCAACCCTTATCTCCTATCCCCTACCCCCACCCACAACTCCAAAATTACCCAGCGTAACCCTTTCTGCTCCAAAGGCCCACGGAGTTCTAAGGTGCGGATAATTAACCCCTTTTCTCTGAACCTGGCTAAATAGTCTCACTTTAGGATAAAGCCTCACACTTTCGCCTTAAAGCCCCCGGCCCCTTACGCGCAGACAGGTAGGGGGAGTGCGAATACTACTGGATCCTAGGAAATTGGTTCCCAAGAAGGCTTCATCCAGGATCGCCCGGTACGGAGAAGTATTCCAGGAGCCCTCTGTTCTGCGGGGTGACAATTAGCCAAAGGTACCGTACCCGTGATACAAAATCCAAGTATGATTGTTGCATCTGAATGTCATTGTTGTTGACTCATTCCTCTCCGTCCTGTAATTATTCAATTCCGCGTAGACTCGACGACCCTATAGATCTGCTTCGGCCCCCCTTTCCCAGGCTTTCCAGTGTTTCTTTGGCTTTTCCAGGCTTCTTGGTTGTTCTCCCAAAGGAATGCCCCGTCGGGTGTGTGTGTATGTGTGTGTGTGTGTGTGTGTGTGTGTGTGTGTGTGTGTTCCCTCGTTATTAGGGGACTAGAAGAAAAGGACGCGAGTGTGCGTGTATGTGGTGGGGGGGCAGAGGCAAGTGAGCCCTTGTTACAGGACTGGGGGACTGGGGCCTGCACGCCTGAGGAAAGGGGTCGCTCCTCCCTAGGG